TTAGTGAATTTATAAATTTTTTAATTTATAAATAGATATAAATTATTTTAAAATTCGTGAATAATATTTGTGGATTTATTTAAATTTGTAGTTTATTAATTTATAAATTTGTTAATGGAAGTAAGTTTTTTTAAGCACGTTTGATTTTTTTTTTTTTTTCTAATTATATGTAAAAATTACTTATTCTGATTTGATAGTCGAAAATCAATCTCAGAATATCAGAAGTCATAAGATAAGAATTGATTAATTTGAAGAATTAAGTGTAAACATAATGAGTCAACATATGGGGTTTGAATTAGAATAATTTTGAACTAACCACTTGTTGGAACATACAAGTAATTAACCAACAAAGTCTTCTTTCATTTCACTATCAAATGAAGTATAAAACAATTTCTTTTCCAAGAAAGTAGAATATTATTGGTTTAGCGCTTGTTTGATTTTGATTCTCCGGTTGATAAGTAACTATTTAAAAAGTGTATTTTATTTAATTTTTTCATAAATTTGTGGTTAAAGTTTAATAAAAGTTGTAAAAAAAATGGGAAAAATAATTGTTTTGGAGAATGCGAATGTGCAAAAGAAGTTATTATCAAAGAATCAAAATCAAACAAGAACTTAATTCAGTGCTCATATTGTACTATTTTTCATTCAAAAAATTTTTAATTCGTGAAGGATACATAGGGGACGTAGAGCGGTATGATGACTTAATCACCTAAACGAATCACATTTTTTTGATGAGATCCCGGACAATACGTATACCTCCAAGTGAAAATAAGTTCTTACTTTTCTTGTTGATTAAGGGTTGTATGTATCAATGCAGTATTGAATAAAACTGAACAATACAAAGAAAATTTAATTTAATTTTTTACCATTAAACTTTCCACTATTATACTATTTTCCTTTCTATTTACGGATTTTTAACTATTTCTGATAGCTCACTCGATTCACAGATTGGTCCGACTCAAAACCTAGAAAGTTAATCTGTTTGTAAAACATTGTCATATGCCTAATGGGTCATTGGCGTTTGGCACAAGCCAGGCACAAACAATACGATGCCAAGATGAATTTGGCTTCAATTGCTTCACATTTATTATCCAATTAATTATATATTATTCATTCAAAGCAACAAATCTTATGTCATTAAATTCAAAAATCTGATATTGACATGCATACTCTGGGAGGATC